TTGGTAAGCAAGCTTGCACTTCTTAGTTCAATGATTCTGGACTTTAAATGTGTACAAGAGTAATGCAGCTGAGTTGATTTATCCTTTGTTATTTGCAGTTAGTCCCTCAAGGTTATGTCTTTGTACTAGGAGACAACTGGAACAAAAGCTTTGACTCTCATAACTGATAAACACTTTGGAAGATATCCTGCTATTTCATAGTTCTCGTGTGTTAAAAAAAAAAAAAACTCTGTTGATTCATGGATGAGATTGTTAAACGCAGGGGCTCCACTTCCAATAAAGAACATCATTGGAAGATCGATGTTTCGGTATTGGCCACCAAGCAAAGTTTTAGACACAATACACCACCATGAGCACGTTATGCAAATGGGAGCTCTTGATGTTTCATAACCGGTACAGATGTGTTGATGGTTAAGCTCGAAGTTGAATAGATAATGAGGTCGTGCCATCCATTTTGGCCCTGAAACCAACAGAGCAATTTTTTTTACGTTCTGTGATCTCCTATGAAGGACATCGAATGCAATGGGAAATCCCAAAAGAAAAGAGTAGACTGAAACATTTGCTTGTTGCTATGATTTTATTTTTGTGTTAAATAATGCAACCTATTCATTGCAATGACGGTCGGCAAGAATAAGCTTAAAGTGAGAAGTAAATTTTTAAATAAGAGTGACACAGAACAACAAAAATTTTAGTGGCTTTCATACACCACATCTTCAGGACATTTAAAAAAAAAAGGAGAGCTCAGGTGTACGGCCACATAATCTGGAATTCAGATAGGTGCGAAGGAACCAACCTTCGCTAGCCAAATTTCATCACAGCTCAGGATGCACCAGCCGGTATTCGAACCCGGGTCTGTACCGTGGTAGGGTACTATTCTACCACTAGACCACTGGTGCATTGGTGTTAGTCTTGTCTTATTATTGGTGAAGATCAAGATGAAAGAAAGGAGTACGTAACCCATGTACAAAAAGTCCAAATATCAAAAGCACGTTTTTTTCCATCATAAGTAGATTAAGGGAACAAAGCCCAAAAAGGATAAACTCAACCATTACATACTAGAAAATAACCAAGTCCACATGGCCTATCCGAAATAAAAAAGATCCCCAACCTACGAGGCCCAAATGAAACTGAAACCCTAAAAAAATCCAGAGGTCCGCTACACAGAAAACCCTAGCAGATAGGGATCATGGCCGCCTTGCCTTCCTCCTTCCTCCTTCCTCCCCAAATTCGACACCAACAAAGCGCCGGTAACAGAGTACCGTCTCAACAGACCACACCAGAAGAGCCTACAATCTTCTTTACCAAATTCTTCCACAGAGAACATCCATCGATCAAGATCGAGATCTCATCCTGGAATCAAAGCTACCACACACAAAGTCACCTTTCAACCATCAGAGAGTGTCCATCGAGAAAAGCGAGATCTCATCCGATTAATAAAACCACCAACCATATACTTCAATCTTGAGACTACCACAAATATATCTTCAAACCCCAACACATACAGAAAACTGATTACACCTTAAAAGACACAGGTCGTAATTGGAGACTAAAGCCGACCACCTCACCGCAGAAGAAGATGACGACGACGGATACCAAGCCGAGTGACCACCGAAGGACAGGTACGTCGCCGGAAAACAAGGCCGAACAACCACAGAGAGATATGTGCGTCGCAGGAAACTAAAAGAAACAACACGGGAGACAAATTCGAACGGACTAGCATAGGAACACACAGGTCCGACCGACGCCGCGACTAAAGAAGCTCGCCAACGTTGGTCAGATTACGAGCTTCAACAGCGGTGAGGTAAGAGAGAAGGTATAGCGTTTTCTCTCTCTACAAAAGTTGATTAATATCTAACCTATCAAACGCACATTTAATTTTGTCTTTCTTTTTCTTCTAAACAAATATTTAATTTCGAAAAAGCATCACAGACGAAGTTGTGCTTTGCTTTGTGCAGTGTTAGTTGGGAAACTTGGGACTGGGAGCAAGTAGTTAGTGCTGGTTGGGTTTTAGACGGCAAGACAAGAGAAAGTTGGAAGGGGGATTAGATTGAACCGGACTGAACCAGTTTTAGAGGGTTTCTCAATTTGTAGCGTACCAACCTATATATAACCACATCTAACCTAATTTTTGGTTAATCGGTTTTCACGATTAAGTTAAACCAGGGGATTGAGAAGCCAATACTTTGGAGTGAAATATATAATGAGGTTACTATAAATCTAATTTTGGTTTTTCTTGAAAGTTGGAATTGTTGGGGCCGCTCACTAGGTCTACTATGGTTTCTTTCATTTGATGTCCTATCATGAATTTCCAGACTCTTTCGGTTAAGATCATCTCCAAATCCAAGTCCAAGTCCAACTCACTCTATTTTACACACACATGTGTTACCCTTTGCTACCATTCAATTAGCAAGACTAGTTAGGAGTTTAGGAGGAACGAATGATTAGTAATACGAGATTGAAGGAAACAAGTGAGGGAGGGTCGTGTACAAGGAACATAGTCTCTTCTACGACTACTCTGTACTTGAGGATCATCAGATTCAGACTCATTACTGGAACAATGGCTCCCTCTAGATACCTTAACAGTAAACACAGTAGCTTATGTTACTCCGACTCTGAATTACGTATCTTTTGTGGACATATATTAATGCCAGAACACACAATGTAGAACATTGAAGATTTCACACTATGTGCCATGAAACCGTTGATATCAGTTTACAAAAGCAGACATGCCTAATTTCTACTCCCTTTTTTTTATTGTTGGTACTATCAGACTATGATGATGATACCTGAAACCAAGATCCTCTCCAAGAATCTATCATTGAAGGCTCTTTCCTCCTTCGAATATACTATTTTAGTCTGCTAAGTCTCTGATGTTCCAGCGGATTGCTTTCATTCAGCAGAGATGCTGATAGCTGTGCACGACCTAGTGCAAGGACATTATCCAAGATTGCCTTTTACAGCCTAGTAGTTGGAAAGATGTAGCCGACTGTTTTGTTTATAAACCTATGAACTACAACACCATAAAGATATAATTTTTGTTTATAAACCTCTGAACTACAACACCATATAGATATAATTTCCGTAAACCAGATCATTGAACGATTAACTGAGCAAGAAATCAATCTAGTTCTACTTCACCTGAGTTTGCAACTGTTGGATCAGGTCTTAGCGCTAAAGAAACCGACATAGCTGCTCTGAAGTTCTAGCTGTAACAATAAGAGGCTTGTAACTGCTACTTTCCATGCAAGATTATGAGCATCCTGAATTTCAGTGTTCATATCCTGGAAAAGTTATGTAATGTGCTATCAGAATGTTTCCCATGACGGTTGATTAAGATATATCAACATGAAATGATTCTTGACACTTGTCATTTCTCAATCATCTAACTTAAAAAAAGAAACCGACAACAAAGACCCTTAAGATCAAACTTTAAGTTTGCAGCATTCATTAGTATAATACTATCTAATCAACCATATCTTCAGTCATGATAATATGACAATGAAGATGATAAGATTTCTTCCAAACTTACTGTAAAAAAGAAAATTTTCAAATGAAGAGCATATGGTTAAACTTTTGAAAAAAATTGGAACACTTACCAAAACCTCCAGCAGGCGGGCGGAACCGTGAGAAGTATCACTATGTTCTAATAGCACATAAATTTCTCAGCAACTTCAGCATGCATGACCTATGGCTTAATATCAGCAAAATCCAAGTCTGAAAGCTAATGTCCCACCAAATTTAACAGCATCTTGCACATCTACAAGAAAATAATCGTTGAGGAACACATGACAAGCAAAATAGCCTTTGAAATTGGTCCAGTTGGGACGAAAATGATAGTTAAATATAAAATGACATAACAAAACAAAAGAGGTTAACAAAGGGCACTAGTCTTCATCATCATTTATACAACTCTTATTGTTTTCTAGGTGAAGAAAGTTTTTGTCAAAATTAAAAGTTGAGATGGCACAACTTCACAAAAGTGCTAAAATCAGTGGTATTTTCAGCTTTCCCATGAACGAGTTGTGAAGTTGAAGTTGCTTATTAAAAAAACTTATATATTGAACTTTGTTTCTTTTACATTGATTTCAAAATTGTTGGTATCTTTTCTCTATTTTTTTGCTCAGATTGGATGTTTCTTGTCATGATGTGTTTTTGTATACCCCAAAATGACTTGATCGAATTACAAATTATGTTTGGAAAAATGTTTAATGTGTATTATTTTAATTTTATAATATTTACAACTCGATTCATAAATATAATTATTACAAATATAAATTATTTCTCAGATTTTTTTTGGGTTTAGAGTTTTCATTTCTGATTTTGTTTTTGTCAACTGAAGTTCTGCATTTTTGTGTTCTAATTCCAAAATTTAAAATTATTTTCTAAGTAAAACTTTTCTGTCGATTAGTAATATTCAAATTTTATGTATTTATATCTTTAGTTTAAATGAAATTTGAAGTAGAAAATAAATAGAGGGGGAGAAGTTCTTGAATATATATTAAATTGAGTTTAAAAAGGTTTTCCTAATCATTTTTAAATAGTTGCATTCGTAAAAAAATATTATTAATCACTATTATTATAACATCCTATTTTCATTTGATTCTTGTATTAAAAATAAGATTTGAAGATTATAAATCATTTAAAATTAAAATATAAAATGATTTATTATAATATCTTCAAATATTTACTAATTTCAAATCATTTATAATTTAAAGCTATAATTAAAATATTTTTTATTTTAAATAAATAATTTATGAATTTTATCAGTGATAAAATAGTATAAATTTACAAGTAAAAATCAGTTTGTATATATTCAATCCGGTGCGGATAATTAGCTAGTGCATATTAAATGATTAGAGAGTTATTCAACCGAAAAAGTAACAAAACCTCAAACAACACCCAAAATTAAAACGCATCAAGTTGTTGGTTTGCACGCTAATTGCATGGAGTCCCTGGCTAATCTTGCGTGAGATCTGATCTGGGTGGAGAATTAGGTTAATCATACATACACCTAGCTTCTTTTCTCCACAACTCAGAGCCGCTCTTTAAAAAAAGAAAAGTTCTCTTTTTGAAGTTTAATCCTTGGCTCTTCTCTCTCACTGGACCCAAGAGCTCCTCTCTCTCACTCACTCACTCACTCCGGATCTCGAATCGATTAAAGAAAGATGCAAAGCCTTGGACGATACTCAAGACGATTTCTCCTGTTCAAGAAAACACAGCCAATCCAATTCTCACGTACCCTAACCTCTGCGAAGCTGAATGACACTTTACATAGTCGAGTCATGGCGGTGGAAAACAAGTTCCTATGGAGGGTTAAGGTCACGCCTGTGCTGGACGATTGGCTGAAACAAAGCAAACATATAAACCCTACGGATCTAAGAACCGTCATCAAAGCTCTCTCCGAGTCTCAGCGATTCGATCACGCCCTCCAGGTCTCTCTTCTACTACTTTCTAATTCTTTAATTTATAATATATTCTTTTGTTGATTTTATAAGTGATTTAAATCCCAATGCACCACTAATAAGTTCATATTAGTTTATTACAGTTGACTTGTTTTCCCCTTAATCTATGTTTTCTTGTGTTTTTATTTTATTAGTGGTGTTTGATTAGCGTTTCTTCACAACATACTTTTGGTGATGTATTTAGGTTTCAGAGTGGATAACTAAACGAGGGGTGTTCGAGATAACCACGGAAGATGTTGCATCTCGGCTTTATCTTGTTGAGATCAATTCAGGGTTGACCGAAGCAGAGAAGCTCTTCAATAGCCTTCCTGAGAACATGAAAGACGACTCAGTCTACACCACTCTCTTAAGCTTCTACACAAAATCCAAGAATACACGGCACGACGCTGAAGCCACTTACCAGAAGATGGGGGAGCTGAATCTTCTCTCGAAACCGTACCCTTACTACAAGATGATCTCTCTCTACAGCCTTCTTGGAGAAGCAAATATGGTCGACGAGACTCTGAGGCAGATGGAGGAGAACGGAGTTGTCCATGACAAGAGTCTCACGGACAATAACGTCTTAAAGGCTTACGCGAGTGTCCCTGATGTGAAGGCAATGGACAAGTATCTGAAAAGAATAGAAGATGAAACGCCATCGTCTGAATTGGCTTGGCAAACGGGAATAAGCATGGCAAAGGCTTATTTAGAATGTGGTTCGAGTAAAGAAGCCATAGAGATGTTGCGTAGAACAGAACGAGTAGTTGATGCAAAGTCGAACGAAGCAGCGAACAAGGTGTTGATGGAGATGTATGGGGAGGCTGGAGCTAAACAAGATGAGTCCCGCTTCTATAGGCGTATCAATCCGAATGCTAAGCAGGGACAGAGAATGAGAGCATGTCGAAGTAAAGGATGTCGTGCACGAAGCTCTTTCCACCAGGTTCATTACTATGGTGGATGTGGTGGTGGATGTAGCGGCTCTGATCATGATAGAGGTAGTGGGGATGGTAGCCGCGCTGATGATGACGGTGGTGGTGTCGGGGCTGATGATGACGGTGGTGGTGTTGGTGCTGATATTGAAGGTGGCAGCGGCGGTGGATGTGGTGGATGTGGTAGCTGGGGTTTAGAGTAGAATATCAAGTAGAGAGTCTCTCATCTGTCAGCTTTTCGTCAAAATAATGGTTACTTAACTACCGTCGAATGTTTTACTTCCTCTACAAGGTTACTAGGATCCACGGTACTGCTAGTAGTGTAGTACTCTGTTTTTGGCTATGAGTAGTGTGCGGAACTGTGATGCAGTGTAGGTTGTTGCATCGTTTTAGGCTAACCTCTTTTGTCTTAGTATTGATATGGCTAATGGTTAAGGTCTGTAATCATGAAACTCTTCAATCGTTTAATGTTACATTAAACAACCGATGACACAAAAAAAACTACCTTCGAATGTTTTTTTTATTGGTAATATTAGGTAAAAGAATATGCACGGAAATTCATTTTACAAAATCAAATAAATTATATTTTATAGTAATAATTTTTTGTATAAAACTATGCAATTGTTTTAGAATGTGGTTCAAGTAGAAGAGCGATAGAGATGTTGCGTAGAACAGAACGAGTAGTTGATGCAAAGTCTAAATACGCAGCGAACAAGGTGTGAATGGGGGAGGCTGGAGCTAGACAAGATGAGTCCCGCCTCTATAGATGTATCAATCAGGGAGCATATCGAAGTAAAGGAAGTGGTAGACGAAGCTCTCACTACTCGGGATATTACTATGGTGGATGTGGCGGTGGCTGTGGTGGTTGGCATGGTAGCCGCGCTGATGATAACGGCCGTGGTGTTGGTGGTGATACTGATGGTGGCATTGGCGGTGGTAGTGGTGGTAGCTAGGATTGAGAGTAGATAACCAAGTAGAGAGAGCCATTACCCATTAGTCATCTTTTCGTCAAATAATGGTTACTTACTACCGTCAAATGTTTTGCTTCATTGGTAATAAATGGCTTTACCATATGGTCAACATTGTGTTCTACATCGTGTCCAGCAAATTTAGGATATTTTTAAAGAGCCTATACGCAACATTTGGATTCAAATCCAATAAGACATTATCTATGTTGTGTGACCCATACGTCCTAGAGAGAGGTCTGAAGAAAATCATCAACAACTTCATTCCTCCTTTTGTAATGTTTTTCTCAATATACGCTTACACAGGGCCGGTCGTTGAAACATTCCCTTTGACTCTCAAATTACTTCTTTCACTAAACACACATTGATCCCCCAAAGCTTTTCACTATTAGTACAACCATGTAGAAAAAAGAATAAATGTGTTTAGAAAAAGAAAAAAAGAATAATACGACTCCAAACTCTCTAGACATTATTCATGAATTGATTTGCTTATATGTCATCACCATATTCAATCTATAAGAAGATAATGACATAGCTCACTTAAATGATGATCTGAATCTTACCTAATTATGAAATGGCTTAACACAATTATTACACAAAGTTCAAAAGGAAATTCAAATATACAATATTAACTATAGAATTATTACCATAACTAAAATATAAATAAAATAATTTAAATCTGAGATGAAATTTATATTAAACTTACACTTTGAATAAGTTAATTGAAAACAGCTAAATGTATTTATCATTATTAATACTTATATATTTTAATGTTTATAAGAAAAAATTATCCAGATATGGTAAAATTGTAAGAAAATTTTCATTCTTATATATATACCCCCCCCCCATAATTAAATTCGTTTTAAAATAAATATATCTCGTAAAATTTAGGTGACCGCTTAGGTACTAGGCACCACTCCTTCGCCTCAATTTAGATCAAATCGGTCGAATAGCTTTAAAATTGCAGAGTGCCACCAATGACCAATGGCATCAATCATACATCGCCAACAATGGTCCTTACTGGCTCCTCTCTCTAATCTCTGCAGAAGCTGTACCATTGTATACATGATTTTGAAAATGTACACCACCGGATTCCACCTATTAGTATGTGAAAGGTTTGTCTTCGTGTACTATTGCTTGGCTCAATGGCCAATATATATGGCTATTTTCTTTTTATGTCTCCTGGTGTGTTTTAAGTTTTTGTAACAAGATTATGCCATTTTTTTGGTGGCTTTATAACATTGAGCGTTAAAAAAAAAGATCAAATCGGTCTAAGAAATCAAATATCCGATTTTAACTTGTCCAGACCGTTTAAATTACCGGCTAGTCTCCTAGACAGCCGCTTAATCTTTTAAAACATATATTACTTTAAAAAGGGTCACTACTATATTCTTTAAAATAAAATATTGCAGTTAAAAAGTTATCATATGATATAACGATTATAGTAAAATGGATAATTCATTTTATATATTTTGACAAGTTTCTAAAATACTGTAATAATCTAAAACCATTTTATATTAAAGATAAACACTGTATAAATATTTATAATTATTTCAAGTAATTGTAAGTTACAAAACAAGGCAATAGTAATAACAATATATATATTTAAAATATTTATATTATATTTAAATATATTATCTTCTAAATTACTAAAACTAATGAAGTTTCGTTTAAATTTAAACTTTTATTTCTGTACATGATACTGGAAAACATCTAGTGGAAAATTATAAATGTTACTTGTTTTATAAAAAAAAATGAACTATAAAGAAAGAAATTTTGTTTGAAATAATTAAAATTCTCATTTTTCTATCTAAAAAATTATTTTTGACATTTGTGATCAATTAATGTATCATACTTTTTACTAGTTAAATTAGTTTTATTTAATGATGTTATTTATGTAGTCAAAATCAATTGTATAATAGTATGTATTTTCTTAATTTATGTGTAAACCTTAAACTTTAACTAAACTGAAATACACTAGGAACTCTATAAATTAATATTCGATAAATTAATAAAAATTATAAATTAATAAATTTCTCCGGTCTCAAGTTACATGAGCTCAAATATGACACGAATTGATAAAATAATAATTTTTTTTATAAAATACTATGTAAATATATGGTTCCATTAAAATTATTAATTAATAACTATATGTATATACATTTGATATAAGTATAAACCAACCATTATGTTGTTTGTTTACATTCATAATGAAATTATATTTTATATATTTCTTAACACTTAATATATTTGATGAAATTTGATAAAATTGTATCTAAAGCCACATTTAAATTCTATGAGACATATTTTATACACACTAAAAAATACCATGATACTAATAAAAGTGTCGAATTTCAAAAAGTTGATTTATGTATATACACTAAAATAAAATATTTATCTTACTTTATTAAATTATATTTTAAAATAAAAAATCTAAAATAGTACTTTTCGTAAATTAATATCTCTTTGCATTAATAAAATACTAAAATACTAATATTATTAATTTATAGAATTTTTAATGTATAATGAATATCACAAGCCAAACTTGACATATATAGTCTAACAGATAACCATCACAAGAAACTATGACACAGTCAAATATATATAAAAAATAAAATCGTAGAATTGACGAGAAATAATTTTTAGTTTTTTTTTTAGTTTTTTTAATATTTAAAAAATAATAAAAAAATTGGTATAAACAAGTGGAAATTGGCAAAATCGACTATAATGAAAATATAGTTGTCCTTTAATATATTTATGCATTAATTGGTTAGTTCTAAACATAATCGCCTTTATATAACGAAAATAATTACTAAAAATTATTTAACAGAAAATATGAAAAAGCAATATCATCTATACTATTATTTGCGAAGTGATTTTTCGCAACGGAGCTCTCACGTTAAAAGTTGGAGTGGTTAATATCGTTTATACCCTTAATGAATAAAATATATAAATCAGCCAAAATTAAAAACGAATTTAATATTTATTTGACTAGATAAGTGGTTTAAATTAATAATAATGATAAGAATTATCTATAATCTAAATATATATTTTAAAAGAAAAAAAAAAGATAATTCCTATATATATTGCGTTGTTATCCGGAAAATATATTTTGATAAAAAAAATTCAAAAACAGAAAACACATAAATAAATTATATATATTTGTGAAGTTATTTTTTGCCTCTGAATCACACGTTGAGATAAATTTATTTTTATATTTTATATAATTAAACTTAAAATATGAATTAATCATAATAAAATAAAAGATCATTCAAAAATAAAAAAAATATGTGTTTGACAAAAATAAATTCAAATATATTGTATTATTATTCAATTATCTAAACTAATATTATTCTTTTTGTAAGATCAAGTTTTGAATGTATATTTATCCATTTAATTTTTTTTAACTGAAAGATATATTTTTATATTTTTTATAAATTAAGGAAAATGAAATAGACTTTAGATTTTTTAAATTGACTTAAAGATAATTAAACCCGCAAAACACCTAGTTATAAGAATATTTGATACACAGAATTGAATTCTAAAAAGGTTAGTTTTTCTATTAGTTCTTTTGTTCACAATTACCTTATTTACAAGGGCTTATCATTGCACTAACCAAAAGAAAAGGGAAACTGAAGTTGGAGAGATAGAGAAGAGAGATAGGAAGAGAAGGATGGAAAAAAAGAGAGTGTTTTTGGTTACTAGCAAGGTTGGGTTGTTTTTACAGTTACAGGTGTAAATTTCCCTAGCTTCAAACGAGAAATGACATGCTGCAGCAAGTTTGTCCACACAAAAAAAAAAAAAGACATGCTGCAGCAAGTTTCATTCTGACCAAGTCAGCCACTCACAACGTCGCGTTTACTGAAATTGTCAAAAACAAAGAAAAACGAATTTATTGAAGAAGAATATGTTTGGCGTCCAAAAAGGGGAAACACGACTGATTAATAATAAAAATATAGAACGTGAGGCATACGCGCTAGATCAGGGCCGTAGATAAATAATACCACGAATAAACAAAACATGGAAAATACGCTATGACCCCATGACTCACTCTCTGTTTTCTTCTTCTTCAAAACCAAAAAACAATTAATCAACGCAGCAAAGAAAACGCTCTCTCTCTTCTCTATAAATCTTTGTATCATTTGTTCCTTCATCTTCCTCAAAGGAACAGAGCCATGAGAACAAAGAGCAAAGGTAAAGTTCACCCATCTCCTTCTCCGCTTCCACCATCTTCTTCTTCTTCTTCCAAAGGAGACGACTGTCTCTCTGCCCTGAAGCTTCTCCCCGCCGTGATTCTCGTTCTCGTCTCCGCTCTCACCCCAGAAGATAAGCAAGTCCTCGCTTACTTAATCACTAGGTCACTCAAAACCACCACCAACACTACCAAAGGAAGAAGCTCTTGCGATTCGAAAATCAAGAAATCAAGAACTCATCACAAAGCTCCCGTTTCCGATTGTGAATGTTTCGATTGCTACACGAGTTACTGGCTTAGATGGGACTCTTCCCCTAACCGTGAGCTCATCCACCAGATCATCGAAGCTTTCGAAGATCATCATCTCACCAACGGCGGCGAGAAGAGCTTGGCTTCTTCTTCTTCTTCTTCCCAGAAATCAAACGGCAGAGGAGGGAAGAAGAAGGATAAATCTGGTCGTCGCCGTGTCGAAAGTGATAGTAAAGCCACGGAAGAACCGGTGGAGCCCGTGGTGGTGGTGGTAGATTCCGATGAAGTGAAATCACCGGAAATCTTGACGTTGCCGGTGGGGGCGGAGACTGGGCACAAGGGTTTGATGAGGAAGCTATTACCGGACGTGATGGGTTTATTCAATTCGCGTTTTTGGAGACTTTGGAATCCGAACGCGTAGATGCATCTTCGGCTCCAAAGCTCTTTCTCTCTCTCTCCTTTCGTTATTTTAAAACAAGTGCTTGTTTTTTTGGAGTCCAAAACAAAGCTAAATGCTTTTTTGTTTTATATGTATTTGATAGAACTCACTTAGTTATGCTGTTGTATAATACTGAAGTGGAGTCTTTGATGAAAAGACAGATGTTGCTGTGTATATATTTTTCTTTTGTTCAATAAAAATGCAGCAGGCATATTATCTATAAATCTATTACTTCTTGAGAGCATCTTTCAATTTTCTGAAGAGTTAGTAATTGGTTTTAGAGCTTTGAAAACTGTATGATTCTCTCTTCAGGTTTTGTAGGTGTTCTCTTTGTTGCTTTGGGTTGGTGTGCTAACTACCCCCTCACTCTCTACTTTAGAGTTTTACAACAACTTCTTCTTTTAGAAATTGGTATCTATTTTTGCTTATGAACAAAGTTACTGAGGGATTACGTAGGTACATAAGTTTCAGGTGGACCTAGTATTCTGTATTTACATTTTTGTGTTTAATATTTGGGAAATTTTAAGGGGAAATCTTTTTTAAAAAAAGTTAACAGAATAGTCGTTTTTTGTGCAATGGAGATTTTACGACAGAAAATAAAGTTGGATGCATGGTAAAAGATCCTGAAGAAGGTGAGTTTCTGGTGGAAACTGAAATCACATCATGAACGATCTTGCACAGCCAAATACAAGGTGGATTCAATTATTTCTTTTTGCAATGTGATGTGTAATATTTGGGATTTTGAAAGAAAAAAAAATGATAATATTTGGGATTTTGCAAGGTGAACCTCTTAAAAAACAAATTAACAGAATTTTCGAGTAAGAACAATACTAGATTATACAGGAACCAAATGATGATATGAAGATCTGTCTAGCCAACACAAAACTCTTTATCACTCAAAATATAAATTAAAAAAAAACCCGAAGCTTGTTAGCTCCACACAAAACCAAAACTTTAATCAATTCATACATGCATATATGTATAATGCACCAAACTTTAATCAATTCATACATGCATATATGTATAATGCACCAAGCTTATACAAAGTAATTGATGAAAAGACTGAATAAATTGTTGAATCAGATATCACAATTACAGTAATAAGGATTAACATACCTTTCACAGAACCATACAACTCTCTACATGATCGAAAAAGACTTGGATAGTATCATAATAGTCTTCTCCAATTCCACGAATCACAATTTCTCTGACCTTTTTTGACTTGGGATCGCAACAAAAAAAAAAGAACGGGTTACGGGATGAGAGCGTTGCGAATATCATCTTCCCAGTACCAAGTATCCCAATCAACTCGATGTCACAACGACGCATTCCATACATATTTGTCAACACAGGAGGAACCAATACAAATTTTGACCACACTTCTTTGTTGGCATCTTCCAGAACCCATAGGTCAACGTTGCGGTTATATGTCTGATTCGCTATGGTTATCTTTCCAACGTGATCCACCAGCTCACCAAACTGTTGAAGCATCTTATCCTCAGGTAGCTTTATAACATTAAAGTCCTCAGAACTCAGATCAAAACTCATTAGAGATCGTTTTTTCTTGTAACAAGCTAAATAATACATAAACCCATCCTTGTATATCCCTTCATATCCAGAATAATGACGATGTGGATACTTACACTCGACCATTCTCCATTTTTCTTTAGCTCCTAGAGTGATCACTTGATGCTCCTCCGACACAATATCCTCCCACGACACAACATTACCACTACGAGTCATATTACTACGTTTACTTACCACCGTCATGCACAACACTTTGTACACGTCATTAACTGGCTCATATCCAAAAACAGACAATATGTCTTGTCTCCTCGTTTTGACTCTAGGTAACGATACGAACTGACCCGTGCTAGGGTTCCCGACCTTCATCTTGGTACCGTCCCGACCGCAGATCAAGCCGCGAACAGGTGGAGTAAATACATACGGTAGATTCGGATCCATTTTATAACTAACCTTGACATGATTATACGGACGGTCTTGAGGCAAGGATTGAAAGCGCTGCATCTTCATGTCTCCGCGACGGTGCAGTGAGATAAGATAACGTGGCTGAGTTGAAGATCGGTTCATGTACCACTGGATGAACTCTTTGTCGAGGATTATCAATGACAAGTGTTTAGAAGCGAAACGGAGCCTGGCTATGGATTTTGGCGGCAGTGTCATGAGAATCTTTATGATCATGTCATTAGGAAGGTTCATAAACGGATCGTTTACATTCCTTTCATCTCCTTTCTTAGACCTCTTGACCCTTTTCATGATTGTTTTCAACTCTGCCTCTCACTGTTTGATTCTTTTGACTCTTTAACCCTACTATCTTTCACCTAGACATAGCTTATTTATATACTCTTAGATGTTTGGGCCGAGATCCAAATAATTCTCTATAGAACGAAACCGATTAATAATTCAAAAGCAAGATTACGAAAATGTATGGGCCGAGATCCAAATAATTTTCTAAAGATCGAAACCATTTAGTAGTTCAAATATTTATTTCTAAATGGAGTGAGCATGTATGGACCGTTACCAAATAATTCTTTAAACGTCGATACCAAATAATTATTTCTAGTAATTAAAAGATGCGTTTTCTAAATGAAGTAAGTAAAATTTCGAAAATTTAAAGACCGAGATTCAAATAATTCTCTAAAGATCGAAATTGACTAATAATTCAAAAGCAAGATTACAAAAATGTATGGGCCGAGACCCAAATAATTCTCTAAAGATTGAAACCGATTAGTAATTCAAATATTCATTTTTAATGGAGTGAGTATACCATTACCAAATAATTCTTTAAATGTCGATACTATCTAGTAATTGAAAGATGCGGTTTCTAAATGAAGTAAGTAAAATTTTGAAAATTTAAAGACCGAGGTCCAAATAATTCTCTAAAGATCGAAGCTATCTAGTAAAATAAATATGGGGCAACCGAATAATTTTAAAGGTAGAAGACAACTTGTAATTCTAATCTGTTTCTCTGAACGAAGGAAGCAAAGTTTGATTATGGCAATTTAGTTTCTAACAGAAATGAAATCGAACGCCGAGAATATATATTTTATCCGATTTTTTTCTTGTACCACTATGCAAAAACTGTTTCTATACCGATAATACCAATTCCTTGACGTGTTAATGTTTTATAGATTTGTAAATAGAACAGAAAATACTCTTCTTTGTTATGTGAATGGAGATCGTTAAACCATCTCTAGTGGCAGTATCTAATAAAGTTTCTAGTGATTACATAATTGTGGGCAATGAGATGGAAGGAGGTTCACAACTTTGGTTCTCCACAAGAATAGGAATGGAATAGAGAAGAAGTTATTTTTGTAAAAGTTGTTATGTTCAAAACTCTGTCTTCAGAATAAGGTTGCACTGTAAAATGTCCCAAAAGGTTTTTTTTGAATAAAATTTAACATTTATTAAAAAAATATATATATATATATATATATATATATATATATAAATATATATATATAAATAGAAAGAAATGAGACACATTATTGGCAGTATCGCTTTTATACTCTGCGAGTAGTTTAATATCTAGTCTGTAAAGTCAAATTTAGATCGGGATCTTCTAAACTTGTGTACTAATGTGTTTTCACGAACTAAAACAAAAAAAAACAACAAAAAAATAACCAACCTCATGCTCACGAGCCTTTTGATAAAGCCCATTATAATATTTTCGGCCCAAACAAAATAATTGTTTCTCAAGTCACTTGGACCAACACTGTCGCCTCGAAAACTTGTCTCTATTCTCTCTCTCTCTCTCCGCTTCGCGCCGTCGCAAGAGCTCGGCGATTTTAAGTTATATTTTTCGATCTTCTGATGCGTCTTCCTCTTCCATAGTAATCCATTTTTCTCCGTACAATCTTGCAGAGTTAAAGAGTATTCACGTCTCTCTAGGCAATTATCATATCATATATGGCTCTTCAGCTCGGGAAGCTCACAATCCTCATCGGTGCAGGTCCATTCTCTTTCAATGGCCTTTCTATTCTATTACTTAAAGTAGCTTTTTTTTTTTATTACTGTAGGTCTTGTTGGGTCAGTGCTTGCTAAAGACGGGGGCTTACCAGATGTATCCAATTTCGTCTCCGGTGCTTTTAAGGTATTTAAGCTTCTTACACTATTCTCTCACCTGACGTCAAAAAAGTTTTCACCTTTTCTTTATTCAACGTAATGTGTGGGGGTGAATGATACTGTTTGGAAAAATGGGTTATGTCTCTTTTTGGCAGATGGTATTTAGACAATTGAAACAAGGAGAACCTGCCAAGTCAGCCAGCAAGCCTCACAGTGATGCACTTACAGCCCAGGTTAGTAACTTTGATATAATGAACCGGCGAGGATAAATTGTTAGATTTTGCTGCTGGGTAAGAAACTTGTGGACTTCTAATTTTCTTGCAGGTTAACAGTCTTCGGCATGAATTGCAGTTGCTGGCTTCAAACAGACCTATCACTATAATTTCCTCAGGAGGATCAGGTCCTTAGTTTTTTTTTTTTTTTTTTTTTTTTGTGGAAGTTTTATATGCCTATGTGCTCTAATCTTCTGCATTAAAAATCTGTGAAAAAAATAAAAAAAATGAGTGGCTGTTATGTTGATATGAAGCAGGACACTATAACTTTTCTCAATTTAATCTTTGTGGCTGTGGTTTATGAGATCCACGTTCAGGGTTTTTTCGTTTCTTGCAACTTCTTCGCATCAAAGAAGGCAGACTTATGTTCTGAACAATAGTATTTTGTTCCTAGCTTTAATAAGTCATTCCATTTGTATGTTACTGTTAATTTTAGCTCATAAGCAAAATAGTTAACAGTTTCCTTTAATTTCCAGGTGGTAGAAAGTATGGTGTAATCATTATTATTGGGGTGATAGGGTACGGATATGTATGGTGGAAGGTAATCAATCATACGTCACCAGTTTTGGCCTACTTGAAAATAGTTACTTCCTCTTTTGAAGTGCTGTTGACTACGCAAGACTTTGTATTCTGGAGAACAATTCATTTGCTTCTCATTGCCTTTTACTTTGACCTGGCTCACTTGTTTGTACTTTATTTTTCTTTATTCAAAACTGGCTGGGTACTGATTCATTCTGCAACGTTTTCAGGGCTGGAAACTTGAAGATTTCATGTTTGCAACAAGGCGCAGCTTATCAGATGCATGCAATAATGTTGGCACCCAGATCGATGGCTTTTATTCATCCCTCTCGGTAAGCTCTTACTTCCCATATAATATTGATTTGACAACTGAACTTCTATTCTTGCACGTATGATGGTGGTTCCTTTGTGAGCTAATCCTTCCAAGTATTTTTTCAGTTTAGTTGCAGAACATTATTTGTTTGGTCTCATTTTGATTATGTAAGCAATTCATGGCAGGGTACAAAACGGGAGTTAGGTTCAGAAATTGACAGGATGGATCGTACTTTAGATGCAAATTCAGTAATTATTAAAGAAACGGGAAGAGAGGTATATTTCACTCCGTTGTCAAGGTTTTTTAATGATTTTTACCTATATTCTTGATAATTTTATCAGAAATGTTTAGGTGATTGAGTTGCGGGATGGAACAGCAAATATGAAGGATGAAGTTAGGTCTGTTTTCGAGGCTGTTGAAACTCTGGTGAGACAATTTTAGTGATTATATATATATGTTAAAACCAGTTTGTTACTCCTAAGCAATATGAGTTGATCTTGAGATCTTCATAATTTCAGGCCAGCAAAGTCCATCGCATTGAGGGGAATCAGGTAACATCTTAGTCACAGCTGTAGTTGGAGATTCGTTTTGTTCATCAGGCAATGTTGATTGAATTTGAATCCTTTTGCCATCCGTAAAGGATCTCACGCTTAAAGGAGTTGGAGCTCTGCATGCTCAGTGTCGGGAGCACAAAAGAATTCAAGAGTCCAATAAGGCATTTGCCTTCTCCTATATGCATTGAGTTTTAAGAGAATGGTTACATTTTCTACTCTTATTTACCCACACACTTGTTTTATGTTTAGGCTTTGCCTTCAACATCTTCAGTGCCAGCCCTTGAGCCANCTCACGCTTAAAGGAGTTGGAGCTCTGCATGCTCAGTGTCGGGAGCACAAAAGAATTCAAGAGTCCAATAAGGCATTTGCCTTCTCCTATATGCATTGAGTTTTAAGAGAATGGTTACATTTTCTACTCTTATTTACCCACACACTTGTTTTATGTTTAGGCTTTGCCTTCAACATCTTCAGTGCCAGCCCTTGAGCCAGCTCCTTTGACACCATCATCAAGGGTAAATGAGTAAATCTTTCATCTGGTCTCACAATGAATTTCATCAATTCATCACGTTATTTGTGTTGTTAACGATCTTGTTCTGTTCTATTACTTTCTTGTCTTCGGTGTTTGGACGTTAGCAGACTCTGTCTTTGCCTCCTCCTTCTCCCCGTGAATCGCAATCACCGTCAACCCCTAATGGAGCTCAACAGGTAACCTTCTATCATAACCTGAGTCGTCCATTAGTAATTGTTATTATACTAGAGTACTAACTTGTCATTTGGACAGTCAAATGGTCCACTTCAGCACACTCAGTCTATGTCTGGTTTGAAGGATATAAGACAAAGTCCTAGGAGCGGTGAGACTTTCTCCAATGGAACACATTCTGGAGAAGCCACGGGAAACACAACAAGTTCAGGCTTGTTTAGTATTTTTTCAATGCCGAGATTAGGGAGGACTCGTAGTGCGTTGAACGCTGTGCCTGCTAACTCAACTGGTCCCCAATAGTGGCTTGTCAATACTAAAGAGAGTTTGATCATTCAGATACAATGATCAATAAACAAAAAATGGAGAAGTGCTAGTAGAGGAGATGAATACATTTTACTGTGTTTATGCTCGATCCCTTGCTTAGTGGAGTAAATGTCATAAACGGTGCATAAATTTTGTAGTGAATGCAGCCAGCTTATATTGATTTGCAGTGTATGCACAATTAACCAGCTCGACAATGGCTTTATCTGGCCATATCTTCTTTTTCTTTTTGTATTGAAACAAAAGGCCGATACGTTTGCCAGAAAGATTGTTCTTTACCAAAGTTGCAAGTAATAATTCTTGCACAATGAATCACGGATTCTTCTTTATTTAGTTTCTGTAAGCAGCACAATTAGAATACGGTGATTATGATTAGATTCACATAAATTTTGTAATTTATCTGATATAACTGAATTACGCTGGAACAAAAAGAAAGCAACGAACTCATAACTGTAACATATGACCCAATTCAATATAATTAGCTGCATCCCTACTAAAGTCATGCACCATCTATAGCATTGTCTTGATGCACTTGCAAAATCTTCTAAAAGCATCTACTAGATACACTTGTTAACTTCTCTGTTAAGCCTAGTATTGGAATGAAGAAACTCTTCTCTTCAGTTAGTTGGCACTGTGTTGACCGCACTAACAGTCCTCACTATTCTCGGCACTGAGAACCTACCAAGCAGTCCCGAACTCGAGCCTGATTTCCCCTTGGCTTTCCCTGAATATCTTCCATTTGAAAGAGTCTCGAGGCTGCTCGAGCTTTCACTTATATCCTAAGACCAGAGTTTATAGAAATCTTTTAAGATTAAGTTTGACGCATGTTGATGTTCAGAACCTGAGGGATAGGGAATATCTTTACCTTCAAACCAGACAGAGATTGGGTGTGCTGAAGCGGACCATGTGCCTGGCCATATGAAAGTCAGAGTAAGTACAATGAAAACAGATAGTTTTCTCATCGACGACTCTGGTATGTGATAGAAGGTACCTGTTGAGCTCCATTAGGGGTTGACGGCGACTGGGATTCACGGGGTGAAGCAGGAGGCAAAGACAGAGTCTCCTAACATCAATATATCAGACAGAAATAAGCTGACAGACCAATAATGTGATGAACATTTCAAATTTTATTGCGTAACCAGATGAAAGATTTAGTAATTTACACTGGAAGAATGTGTCAAAGGAGCTGCCTCTATAGCTGGCAATAATGAAGTTGATAGCAAAGGCTGTACATAAAAGAAAATCAAGGTAAATAGCCATTTCTCTTAAATTCACTGCACAATGGAGACGGTTCATGCCTTATTGGATTCTTGAATTCTTTTGTGCTCCCGACACTGAGCATGCAGAGCTCCAACTCCTTTAAGCGTGAGATCCTTTACGGATGGCAAAAGGATTCAAATTCAATCAACATTGCCTGATGAACAAAACGAATCTCCAACTACAGCTGTGACTAAGATGTTACCTGATTCCCCTCAATGCGATGGACTTTGCTGGCCTGAAATTATGAAGATCACAAGATCAACTCATATTGTTTAGGAGGAATGGACTGGTTTTAACATATATGAAATCATTAAAAATTTACTCACCAGAGTTTCAACAGCCTCGAAAACAGACCTAACTTCATCCTTCATATTTGCTGTTCCATCCCGTAATTCATTCACCTAAAACATTCTGAATAAATTAGAAAGCTCTGTCAACGCAGTGAAGTAGAAGCGTTTGTATACATTGAATCTTAACATACTTCTCTTCCAGTTTCTTTAATAATTACTGAACTTGCATCCAAAGTACATTCCATCCTGTCAATTTCTGAACCTAACTCTCGTTTTGTAACCTGCAATGAAACATTAAAAATAGACCATAAAATGAGACAAATATCGATGTTCTGCAGTTGAGTTACAAAAAGAGGATCATAGATCATTTGCATGATTATCTAACGAGAGTTATCATCATTATCAGTTATTCAAAAAATAACAAATCGAAAGCACACAGTATTTGAGAGCGCTAGAGAGAAACTAGAAGTCTAGAACTTGCCGAGAGTGTTGAGTAAAAACCATCGATCTGGTTGCCAACATTATCACAAGCATCTGATAAGCTGCGCCTTGTGGCAAACATAAAATCTGGAAGCTTCCATCCCTGAGAATGTTCCAGAAGAAAATCAGCACCCAGCATTAATTTAAATGAACAAGTAAAACTATTTGCTTGGGTATGGTGAAGCAATTACCTTCCACCACACATATCCATAGCCTATCACCCCAATGATAATGATGACACCATACGTTCTACCTGTGAATAGTAGGAAACTGTTAACTAACTTCATCCAAGTTTTGATTAACAGTAGACACAGAACATAAGTCTGTCAAATTTGATGCAAAAAGGAAAACTGTAAATTAAAAATGTTTTTAAAACCTATGTCTTGTTAATATCAAACAAAAAATTTTGATTATTAATGTAGAAGAGGATAACAAAAACTCAAACATTAAGAAATTAAAAAACTCCTAAGGACCTGATCCTTGTGTCGTAACAATAGTGATAGGCCTGTTTGAAGCTAGCAGCTGCAACTCATGCCGAAGACTGTTAACCTACAAGAAAATAAGAGATCAGATTCCAACGAAAATCTTTTATTACTCAGATCTATCCTCACCAGTTAAAAGAGTTATGTCAAGACTAACCTGAGCTACAAGTGCTGTATCATTGCGAGACTTGCTAGGCTCTTCTTGCTTCAGTTGATTAAATACAAGCTATAGAAAGAAACAAAACCGTTGCATCAACAGCATCATATACACATACAATAAGACTCGTCAAGCTCTTTACACAAGATAGAAACTAAGATACCTTAAAAGCACCAGAGACCAGGCTCGAGACAACTGGTAAGCTCCCGTCTTTAGCAAGCACAGACCCAACAAGTCCTAAATTAACATTCAGACAAACACACAATTCAGTAAAGACAGTAACTTTGATGAACATTACGCAGGCACTACACGCTAAACTTCTTCAATGATATTTATACTCTACAGGGATCAAAGGGTTTATCAAAAAACCCTAACTTGTGATCACCCACCAATGAAAAACCCTAAATTTTTAGTCACTAAATAGAAGAAATAGCCGCACGGACCTGCACCGATGAGGACGGTAAGTTTCCCGAGCGGAAGAGCCATAGCCATGCCTAGAGCTAGAGAGACGAGCTTCTACGGCGAAAGGGCAGAGATGTAAACAAAAGGAAGCGGTATGAGAAGATAGATTTGTAAGAAGAGAAATCACGGGAAGGTACCGGCGAGACAATAGCGACGACGGAGTGAGAGAGAGAGAGAGAGAGGACGTGCGACTATAATGTTCGCTTGTTGAGCCAAAAACTCAAACCTTTTCGGTTAGATTCGGTCTAATTGTGATGACAATCAATAGTCATAGAACCGGTTTGTTTATTTGGTAAACGTACGAGTATTTTAATCTAATAACCTAAAGATTATCTTTTATTATTATTATTTCTTTTGGTCTAAATGTTAAGATTTATACCATTTTCTGAGTTTTACAATGTGTGAAGACACAACTTATTACAATGAGCAAAAGGAGAGAACAAAGAGAAAAGTTATGAAATGGGAGCTTTAACTATATGGAGATACAAAACAAAAGTATAACTCCAGCAAGGAAGGAGATGGTGGAGACGCTGGAGTAAAAGACAACAGCCTATCGCGCATCATACAGCGATCCACCATCTTGAAAAACGCCTCCGGAGACCGTGTCTGGACCTTAAAGATGCGAGCATTGCGTTCACGCCAAAGGCAGTATATATTGACTTGATTTAGGAGCTTGAAAACTGCCACAGCTCGAACAACATGAGGACCCTGAAGTTGATGGCATATGTCGACCACTGCTGCAACAGAGGAAGGGGGAGACGCCAAGTACCTGCCGCAGAAACGATTCCAAGCAACCACATCAAACGAACACTCAAAGAAAAGGTGGGAGTAAGATTCAACATCAGCATAACATAGAACACAATCTGGAGGAAGGGGTAACCCCCAAGAAATTAATCTATCCCGAGTTGGAAGTCTACTGAGAAAGACCATCCAAGTAGTGAAGGAGCAGCGAGGTATCTCCTCCTTGAACCAAACCGTCAAATGCCTAGGAACTTGAGGGTTTGGAGTCCGTAACCTACCCCAAGTAACTCTAGAGGAAAAAGAAGCACCAAATCCCCCCGTCCCAAGTCTCCACAAATAAACATCAGCACGATTAGCATCACTTGGGACATTTAGAGTAGATAAAATAATTTGCAGAGTCTCAGCATGTTCAGAACGAGCCGGTGGCAGGTTACAGTGACCATTTGTTGGGCCCAAATATGGTCTGTTAGCTGAAATTAGTGGATCAATCAAATTGAGCTTAACAATGGGCCACGCGTGAATTATCGTTTCAAAAGAGAGTGGAGCTCACCTAAGGACGGAGGCTACTTCCAAGGATTTCGATAAAAGAGGTCACGAGAAAGAGGTCACGAGAAAGAGGTCACGAAGAAGAGGTCCGGCTTCTCTCGCAGGAACCTAATAAAACAGCCCAGGATACGAAGATAGAGGCGTATGATTCGGTCAAAAGGAAGCTGTTGCAAATCCCTCAGTTTACGGAGGCGATCTCGGAGACTAATCAGGAGAGGT